TATATATATGTATATGTAGATCTGTATATTATAACACTCTAACAAACAGGCCCAGAGACAAAAGGGTCCAATAACTTGGTGAGATAAAACATATCCCCCACAAAAAATCCAACCAAAACCTTTAGACGGTTTATGGGAACACACGGTTTATGGGAACACACAGTATAACATACTGCATGAGGTAGAACCTTATCCATCCCAAACTTCCACCGTGTCCCGAAGAGCCGAACAGAGCGCTGGACTGTATTATAATTAGTATCAAAAGAACTCTCAAGTTACAGGCTTCTCACATTACCCTCGACGCAGGCCCCTCTCTCTCTGGGTCTCGAACCGAGCCCCTCTCGTCTCCCAGTCGGCTCACGTTACCAGTTTCGCAGACGTCAGTCGGCCGGCGGAGCTCTCCACCGACACCCAAGCTCCCCGCTTTGCCCCGCCTCTGCTGGGCACACACGGATTCGCGTGGGGCAATGAGAGGGAAGAGGGGGAGAGAGCGACAGAGAGAAACTTATAGAAGAGAGAGGGAGAGACAGACAGGGAGAAAAGGGGGGAAAGACCGATATCAACTCTGGCTAGACAAGACTTGTTGTCTTGCGCGGGCGAAAACCGTGCACACATACTCGCGTGCTCACGCGCGTTCCTTTTTTTTTTCTTAGCGAGTGGTGGAAATACTATGTATTATTATTCAGAAGATAGGGAATTTCTTCTGTGGTACCTGTAACGAACAAGTGAGTGAGTAAAGTTTCTTCAAGGCGTTATCTATGAATCATAGTTTCTATCAGTTAACGAGGACTGTTGTCCACTGATTTTTCTTTTACAGTATGTTTTTACCAAACAGTTCCGTTTTGTGTTGAGCTGTGACAAAGGTGTGGGGATGAAGTAATAATTGTATTACGTGTTGTGAGGTGTGCGTTATAAAGGAACGAATTATTCCCCTTTCAGTGGATTGTGTAAAACAGGTCGATGACCCTTCTGTGTCGAGGGGGGAAATCAACAAAAACCCTTTGTCCAGGATTATTATATAATACATCTAAATCTACGATTGTTCAGTGTTCAGAACCACAGAGTCCAAGGGAACAGATCAGTGACTGTATAATAATACTGTGGCGCTGGGGTTGCTTGAGTGCAGTGGACTACAAGTGACTTGTTTATCTCCCCTGGTGTTACCAGGAAAGGCGCGTCCAGTACCCGCTGCTGTAACGACCGGTAATGTGTCTTAAATAATTATTGTGATGAACTGATCATTGCACAGGTGTGTCATGATTCGGCCTACTTTTATTTGATTGTTAGTTAATCGTGCTCATGGAGCGCATACAGTGGTCTTTTGGCGGTTGCTCTGGCGTGGTTTGCTCTTCCTTTCCTATCAAACATTATGTCTTCATCATCCTTCCATTCTTTTCTTTGTCAATAACAACTTTAATTAATCTTTGACACTTATTCGGCCTGATCGAGTTGCAAGTGCCGTAAAACTGAAAACTGAAAGTGCACACACATTTGCGATATCATTGATCTGTGCTGTACTTTCGCTTCTCTCGTCTCAACTTTCATAACAATCAAACGCGTAGTGTATATAGGTTTCAAAGTGGATGGTGAGTGGAGTATAGTTGTTCAAGCTTTTTAAGGAATTCTATTTGGGTGTGTGCGTGTGTGTTTGTGTGTGTGTGCGCGTGTGTATGTCTCTCTCTCTCTGTGTGTGTGTGTGTGTGTGTGTGTGTGAGTGTGTGTGTGTA